AACCACTTTCCGTGTTGCCGGTTCCCACACTGGCCTGGCCATCATCAAGCTCTTGAAGTACTTCCGGTTTTAGGTTTGCCAACCATTCGTCATGATCTGGCTCCTCCCATTCGTCACAAGAGATGCACTGTAGCTGGAAGGTGGCTTTATGGGGGAGGGCCGAGTCCGAGGCACCAGTAAACGTGCCCTCGTTATAGGCGTAGACATCTACGGGTGTGGACGAAGACGCGCTTTTCATCGAACTATGAAATGACATTACCATGGATTGTGGGCCGCAGTAGAATGGATTGATGACCCACATTCCAATCCACTTTGATTGCCCACTTTGAGATTGGGCCGTCATGAAGAAGTCCGAAGGGTCGTTGGGCATTTCATCTTGGCTGCCAACATCGTCAAACCAAACATGTTGGTTGTACATTTTATATCCATTGGCTGTGAACGAGTCAAAGCGGATCTGTCCGGATCGCTGATCAATGCTGATTAAGAGATGGCCTGCATCCTCTCCATTGTTAGCCTTCAAGGAGAATCGCTGATGTTGATCACCCCCCAGTTGGCAACATGGTTCAGACCGCACCAGCAGCGGAAGCAGGCATAGAAAGAGGACAGCTTTCATCATTTTTATATAGCTAGATTGCTTGAGAACTTATGCTATTGCGTATGTGTTTGTGATGAGTGGACAGAACCCAAGTAGCTACCAGGCAGCAAGGAGCAGGGGAGAAGACGACCCACCGGCAGTTCAAATGCTACGAGCATCGATCCTTTGTAAAGCGAACACCAGGAGGGTGCCTAAGATCAAAACGCAACCACCCTACCATTGCGTTGCTACTAGCAGCTGCATAGAAAGGTCATCACGAATAGAATACATCGGCTATTTGGCACTGGAACGATCGGCGCTTGTGCTGGAATCAGCCGAGGGTTGCTTTCAACTCCCGCACCTCTTCTTTGGTTGGGCATTTTGAGTGACTAGCTACGGCTACCGGTACCGGTATCGGTATTACGGTACCGGTAGGATAGTAGTTGACCGGTAGCCCCATAGTGGCCCTGGCATAGGTTGCTATCTGAGCTATTCACCGTAGCTAGCTTTGGTTGTGGTATCCATCGTTCAGGTCCAGCTCCTCGTCTGCAACCACTATTCCGTCTGCATCCATGATGCACCTGCCACCATTCGTTCTGAACCGTCCTGCGTGATTCGCCATCTCTCCCCAGCTGGGCAACCACGGACGCAAAGCAAGTCTGTGCATTCAAGCATGCCTCAACAAAGCATTCCAAAGATCGGATGAAGGTCGTTGCCAACGGCGCTTTCACCGTTCTGCAGGTGAGGTCCTTCAGAGAGAGACGAAACTGGATCGGCGAATCAAAACTAAAATTTGCCGGCTCTTTCTCGGTTGGTTTCTGTAGTTTACTGTACCAGTATGGTCACAGGTACCTACCGGTAGCCTTTACAGTACGGTACTATTATTAATAATAGTACAAGCTAAAGGTAGTCGAGTACTCCGACTATAAATAGTAGTAATAATTTTTAATAATTAAGAAAGTCATAAATCCTCAGCATGCCGGTCCATCTTGGGATTGGGGAGAAAATGTATTACGTCTCCTGAGACGACGCACCTTTTGGTTACCCCCTCAGTTGCACTCCGAAATCGATTGGCTCGCGTTTACTGTGTAAATTAGTGTACCCGCACTTCAGTTGCAGAATCAACGGTCATGTGTATCGTTAAGTAAAAGGTTCACTTTCGAAAGATTTAGATTGATTCGTGGAATAAAAGAACCAGGTTACACACTCAAGTCCATTATTATTGAAGGCGCAGCACTGACTTCTCTCCCTCATTGAATTCGTATGGTAAACAGGAGGTAAATCCAAGCTTGGCCGACAACATAGGAATATAATAGTGGTATATCGGTGGTAGGAGGTACCGGTGGGAGGATCGTTCAATCGATTCGATTCGAGGTAAGCCTATTATCAAGAGTGTTAATTGAAGGTACAGCGCTGACTTCTCTCCCTCATTGTATTCCTATGGTATTCAGGAGAGAATTCTAAGCTCGGCCGTCAACAGGTGAGTTGTTCTTTAATTATTCGAATCGATCGGTCTGTCGCACCTCTATTATCTCTATTGTCAAGCCTCACTCAAGCCGGCTGTCTCCGATGCAGATTCGAAAGCCATCCCTCATTGAATCCTATGGACCATGGGATGGCAGTCAGTTCTCGGCCCATGACAGTCAAGAAAACAATGGTAAGTCTCCGGTCGTCTGCAGTTGAGCACAGAAAACAAACCTCATATCTATTTGTTGTTTTCTCTGCTGCACTGCCGATGGCCGAGGAAATCCCATTGTCGAGGTCGAACGAACGAACGAACGAACGAACGAACGAACGAACGGTCGCTCCGGATAACAACAAGAGAGGAGGCTACAGGTACTACGGAGGAGGCTCTGTTAACTCCAGCCCTACCAACAGCCTGAACAGAGGAGCCTATCGTCGTAGAGTCATTGAAAGGCAACAGCCACCGGAAGAGGCAACAACACACAAGAGAGTGGATCCTCCTACCGGATTCATCCCTTCTTGTTATTTCCTACTGTTTTGGTGGTGATTCCTGTGTTGGTACCCATTTTCCTGTATGCGCAAGTCAAGTACTGTTGCCACTAGCTATACGGCAGCTGGCTACAATGGCTGGATTGACAATATTCGATATTCGTCATAAGGATCCAATGCGAGGTAACCGACTGCAGCGAGCAAAGTCGAACCTGAGTGTGTTCGGTACTGTTGCTACTGTCACCAATTGATGTAACTCTACGATAGCTGGCAACGATGGCTGGATTGACAATGTTTCGGTTGTGCATGTATTCGTCATAAGGATCCAATGCAAAGTACCGGTAACGGAGTGTAGCCAGTAACGGAACCTGAGTGTGTTCGGTACTGTTGCCACTGTCACGATCGATGTAACTCTACGGTAACTGGCTAAACGGCTGGATTGACATGTTCGGTTGTGCATGTATTCTTCATAAGGATCAATGCAAAGTACCGGCAAAGGAGTGTAGCCAGCAAAGTGGAACCTGAGCGTGTTCGTCGCCGATGTAACTGTACGGTAGCCCTACATGGCTGTATTAATAATATTCGGTTTGTGCATGTATTCGTCATAAAATCCAATGCAAGTACCGGCAAGGAGTGTAGCCAGCAAAGCGGAACCTGAGCGTGTTCGGTACTGTTGCACTGTCACCGATCGATGAACTCTACGATAGCTGGCTACGATGGCTGGATTGACAATGTTCGGTTGTGCATGTATTCGTCATAAGGATCCAATGCAAGTACCGGAACGGAGGTAGCCAGTAAAGCTGAACCTGAGTGTGTTTGGTACTGTGCAACTGTCACGGATCGATGTAACTCTACGGCAACTGCTACAAGGCTGGATTGACAATGTTCAGGTGTGCATGTATTCGTCATAAGGATCCAATGCAAGGTACCGGTAACGAAGTGTAGCCAGTAAAGCGGAACCTGAGTGTGTTCGGTACTGTTGCCACTGTCACGGATCGATGTAACTCTCTGCCTACGGTACCGCAGCTGGCTACAATGTCTGGATTGCGAGCAACTGAGGAAACAGGAGACCAACGCTGAAAAAAAGCCGAATTTATGAAAGGACATTTCAATACAGCAGAATGAGAAATACGGGCACTCAAAGGAGAATTGACTGATAAAGTTTTGCTTTATTGACAGTGCCGAAGCTGTTCATGCTGGCACAGAATCCAAAGACATAAGTAAAAACAATACACTCCAAACTCACATATAAGAAATCTCTAAATTCAGTGCAGCCCTGGGCCTTTCTTACCATACAGCACCATTTTGGACCCTCAGATTGTTTCTATCAAAACAAGCCAATTTCAGCATATAAGACTTTCTTACTATGCTTCTAGGTCAAGCAGGGCAGTACTTGGATACACCCAATGAACCTGGGCCTTTTGGTTCAACTTGCTCAGGAAACATAAATTGGGTTGTGGCCGAACATGACAAGCTTGTGGTGGCCGATTTTAGAGCTCGAATGTGGGCAGCCCAACGCTGCAGGCCAATCTACACTGGCCTCCATGCATGGTCCCCCAAGTGGGCTCAATCTAAAAGGGTCCTTCTGGCGTGGGAACTGGTTCTAAAAAGTCGGTACCGAACAGTACGGAAACCCTACCTGGTCCGGAAGATGAAGGGAGCCGGGGTTCCATTTGAGGCTTTGCTTTGGGAAACGTTCGAAGTCAGGAAAAAACGGAGGAGGCAAGGGAGCAGTTTCGAAAATGCTGCCGCGATGCCGACTTGTTTCGCACCGACCATCTGGAGACACTGGCAGCCGCCAAAGCAAAGGATAAGGGAACCACAAAAGCAGGCGAACTTAGAATGCTCAAAAGCTCCAACAAGGCAAGGGAGATTGGGCGCAACGTCCGCACTGCACTCGGAAAAAACAGCAAAGGTCTGGCAACCTCCCTCCAACGACCACACCCAACTGGCGACGGCATGGAAATCTGCGATACTCAGACAAGTTTGGTTGATGCAAGTATTGATGAAGCCACCGCACGCTTCACCCGAGCAACTGACATTTCCCCATTCATGACAGACCCCCTCCTGTCGGAAGTGGGACCAATGGCAGAACTCCCAGGAGCTGACGTAATTTTAGCAGGCACCTTTGAATGCCCCCCCGAAACTGATCAATACACCCAACTTCTCATTCAGCACCTAGCCACACCTCCTGAAGTCATGGCGGCTGGAGACATCCCTCTGGATATCCCACTCAAGGAACACCAGCGGGCATGGAAACAGCAGAATCACCACACAGCAGCTGATCCACGAAACCTGAGCTTCGCACATCACAAAGCAGGGGCCCACGACAAGAGCATCAGCCAAGTTGACACCACCATCCGGTCAGCCCCAATCCAAGCAGGATTCAGCCCCCCTTCTTGGGAGTTCATGTCAGATTGTTCTATTCCCAAAAAGGCCAACAACCTCTTAGCTTCAGCTATGAGAATCATAGTTCTCATGGCGGCCCTCTTCAACATGAACAATAAGATGATCGGCAAGAGGGTGATGGAAAGAATGGAGGATCTCAGACTCATGGTCCAGGAACAAGCGGGGGGCCGAAAAAATCACCAGTCTGCTCACCAAGCCCTGAATAAGGTTTTGAGTAGTGACATCCTCCGGTTCAATCGACAGGCGGGCTTCTTTTGCTGTAACGATGCCATCCAATGCTACGATAGAATAGCTCACCCTGTGGCTATTCTGGCACTCAGACGACTAGGAGTTCCAGCGTCCGCAACGGAATCAATGTTTGGCGTTCTACAGAGGGCGAAACACTCTGTCCTGACCTGACCGGCTTTGGCCTTTCTGAACGGTCTTATGGGGGGTGGGAACGGCTAGCGGCAGGTCTGGCAGCAATCCAGGGCGTGATGCAAGGCAATGGAGCAGGACCCATGATTTGGCTTGCTATAAGCACCGTTTTGGTCTCCTGTATGATTGATTCTGGATATGGAGCAGTTTTTGTACTAACAGCAATCACTTGCAAAACATTGCAGTTTGCCGGCTTCCTCTTTGTAGACGATTCTGATAACATTCATACGGCAAAAGACCCCACCATCAAGGCCGTTGACATTCTACAAGATTTCCAGGACTCCGTGGACTGCTGGGAGGGCCTTCTCCGCAGCACCGGAGGCGGCATCAACCCTAGAAGAGATAAAAGCTTCTGGTGTCTGATCGATTTTCGATGGACGGGGACACAGTGGAGGTACTTGACGGCTAATGAAGCCCCAGGGGAAATATCAGTCCGAAGCCCAACACCTGACCAGGAGAGAGTTACCCTTCAACGCATCGAACCAGGGGAGGCGAAGGTAACCCTGGGAGTGTCTATTGCCTTTGATGGAAGCTGGACCGGCGAAACAACCTATCTCACCAACAAAGCCAAGGAGTACGCCAGCAAACTCAAACCCAGCAGACTCACCAGGCAAGAAGCATGGTATTCCATCACCAACGTCATTCTGATGACAATGAAGTACCCACTCGCAGCCGTAAGTCTATCCAAACAACAGTGGGACGGCATCATGAGCATTATACTTACTGCAGGGCTACTCAAGAGCGGTATATCCAAGAATTTCCCCAAGGTGATGCGATTCTGTCCCCTACTCTATCAAGGCCTGGACATCCGCCACTTGTACGATGAGATGCACCTGGAGCACCTGCTTGTCATTCTGGATCAGTGTAATCGGATCACCCTTACCGGGAGACTCCTGGAAGTATGCTATGAGGCCGTCCAACGCGACATCTGCTTACCTGGACCTATGACAGACCACGATTTCGACCAAGTAGGCCACCTAGTCACCTCGAGCTGGATGAAAGACGTATGGAGGTACTGCTGGGAACACTCCATTACAATCAGGTCTCCTCTGCCGGGACTTCGGCTCCAACGCCAACAGGACCAATTCTTGATGCAAGCATTCATCGCAGCAAACTATTCCGGGGCAGACCTCAAAACTCTACAGAACTGTATGCAATATATGTGTTCCATGACCCTCTCTGACCTTGCCACCGCAGACGGATCCAGACTCACTCAAGCCGCTTTTGACGGAGTCTACGATGGCCAACAATCAGGGGGCCTTCACTGGCCCCGCTCCCCACCACCCCTACCAGCTGCATCTTGGGACCTATGGCAGGAAGCCATCTCTACATGCTTCGTCGACACCACCACCCTGAACAGTACCTTGTTGGCCCCCCTCGGCCTTTGGACAACAGACCCACGACCAACCAGTCGATGCATGCTTTCAGTAAGCGAACGACGTTTGTTTCTCAGAGACGACCCCGACGATGATTGGGAAGTTCACACAACTCACAGCAGGAGAATACGCAAGGGTACCAACTTTCTGAACCCCCACATCACCACCACAGATCTACCCGACGACGCGAGACCAGCCACATCCATATGGCACGTCAATGGTGGTTTGATTTTAGACTCGGTGGCCCCAGAGACATATCTTGCCATACCACCTCCCCTCCCAGTACAACCAACCCTTCTGGGTTTCATCCAACACACCTTGGATCCCATTGACCTTTGGGCGGTGGAATCCATCACCTGTACTGACAATGGGCAAAATCTCGCAGCGTCGATTGCAGCAGGCACGGCACGAGGAGTGAGCGATGGTTCTTTCAAGGAGGGTAGAGGCACTTCAGCCTTCATTCTCCATGGCTCGGACCCAACCTTCACACTCCTGGGAAAGAACCGACTACCTGGCCCCTTGGACCTACAAAGCCCTTACAGAAGTGAAGCCGGGGGTTACTATGGCGGCTTGATCGCTATAAACATCTTGCGACAAGTTCACAACATCACCACGGGTTCATGCGACCTGAGATTGGACGGGGAGTCGGTGATCAACAAATTGGAAGGATACGCCCCTATTCGCCCCGGTGACAAACATTACGACCTCCTACTCGCCTGCCAACACCAACGGCAACAGCTCAAGGAAGCAGGAATTAAAGTCACACTTTCCTACGTGGCTGGACATGCCGATGCCAAAAAGAAACCACACCAACTCACCTGGTGGGAACAACAGAACATCGTGGTCGACCGAGAAGCGAAGAGTTTCCTGAGAGCAACCTGGGATCGGGAGCCAAACCTCCAACACATCGGGGGGCAAAGCTGGCAGCTCTCATGGCAGGCTCAACCCCTGTCCTACTTGGACAAAACCAACCTCTACGAGCGTATGTACGCACCCATAGTCAGACCTTACTTGGCCCGCAAGCTTGCTTTGCCACACAAGACCCTAAGGAAAATCAACTGGAAGGCATCGAACCAGGCCCTCAGACGCATGCCCAAAGGAAAACGACGCTGGCTAACCAAACACACCACTGGTTTCTGTGGAGTCGGACGATCAATGCACACTCGGAAGATTTGGGACCACTCCCGCTGCCCCCGTTGTGCCCAAGATGATGAAACCCCTAAGCATGTTCTGCTGTGTCCTAGCCGGGGTGCACGACTTACCTGGGCTGAGGCATTGGTCTCCTTAGACAAGCACCTTCGCAAACTTGGCACAAATCAATCACTTCGGTACGGCATCATAGAACATCTCCGGGCTTGGGGAAAGAGGAGCCCTCCACGCCTGGGACCTCTCCGTGCCGACGTCAGAGCTGCACTCGCTGAACAGACTGAGATAGGATGGTACAACCTATTGCTCGGACGCATCAGCCACCGGTTCACCCAATTGCAAGAAGCCCACTACAAATCCCTAGGCAATCGCCGCAATGGTTTCCGCTGGACCACCGCAGTCATACGAAAACTTCTTGATATTTCCTGGGACATGTGGGACCACCGCAATCATATCAAACACAATGACCCACATCCAGCCTTCGACCCACACCTCCGAACTACCCTCAACGAAGAAATAAGGTTCCAATGGTCTCTAGGCGCCGCTAGCCTGCGCCCGGAAGACAGACCCCTATTCCGACATGGCCTCGACTCCATTATGGAGCAGACAACTACAAACAAACAACAATGGCTAGCTAGTGTGGAGAACGCCCGGTCTGCAGCGGCGGCAGACCAAGTCCAACCTCGCAATGATCAGAACTACGAACGTAACCTGATGGAAAACTGGATCATTAGAGGTCCACCAGCTAACTGAGCCAACAACACTACAAACAACAAAAAAGGGCGCCATATCGCACCCACAGAAAACACAAACACTTCCATGTCAAGATGCATATCATATATCCTTTTCTATACCCACAAACGGTTAAAGGCAAGCCCTAGCAAGAGGCTTGCATATACCGTTTTCAAATCTAAACGTAGAACATAATCCCTTCGGGGAAAGTGTAATTAATAAGTTAATTGGAGAACACCGCTGGAAGTACTCACTGGACAGACACAAGACATCAGCATACTACTGTCGTTCATGTTCTGGGATGTTGTCTACGTACTACGGTACCACAGCAAACACTACTCCAACATGCCAGGGGAACAAAAGTACTCTGAAATACGAGGCCGCTTTGTTGGCTTCGCCAAACACGTTGGACATGCCCTTACCTTCAAGACACTCACGGACGATACGCGTCGCATCATCCATCAATCACGAGTTCGACTCGCGAAGGAAGGTGTGAACAACCTCAAACTCGATGTGGAAGCTGGTGCTGTTCCTGAACGCATCTATGTGAGCTCGAAGCGAGACAATGATGGCGAAGACGCATGGCTTCCCACAATTGACATGAGCCAAAGTCCATTCGACATCCCAACGCCAATGGAAGAAGGGGAGCAAGAAGAACTTCCCCCTAATCCTCCATCGCCTATGGACCAACCTCCACTATCCCAACAACCAGAAGTGGAGACTGTCGATGAAGACGACGAGAACCTAGCGGATCATGTCAAAGACAGACGGCAACCAGGGGAGCCGAACCCTAATGACAACCCACTAGACCTCAAGTTCGACTTCATGCACACGGAGAACCCAACCGTTGAAGGACTTCCACCGGAAGAAATGCTGGATCGTATCCGCATCCATTCAGTTCCGCTAGAAACGTAAGGAGTCTAATCCCTCGTAACGATACCACGCTGGAGTAGACAGAGTCGACAGGTGTGTCCGTGAGATGTCCTCCGGCAACGAGCCATGCCTTGTGGCGTCCATCGTGCTTGACAGCATAGATGATGTGTACTTGTATCTTCTTCCAGTCGGGTCCAGGATTGTACCTCTCCCCTTGTTCAGGAATGTTTCATACTCATCGATCTGTGATAGCTCCTTCTCTTCGGCGTCTTTCCACTTGGTATTGCCGTTGAGTGCATCGAGCTCCATAGCTTGTTCATGGTTGCGTGGCACGAGGAATCCGTACATGTACACGGGTTTGGTTCGGAACGAGTGTAGCTTCGCTTCGTTAGCGAGTCGGATGATTCGTTTCTGGGTCTTGGCTCGCTTCTTGAGTCAGGTAGTTTCCACCCTGGTGTGTCGAGTAGTCCTTTCTCTGCTGCGTAGATGGCCACCGTAACAGGGTCTGAGTCGTAGACACCGCTTTTTTCCTTCTTGGTAAGGGGTTCCCAGGTAATCTCCCCTGTCTCCCATTCTACTTGAAGGTTGTATTGCGATCCTTTGTAACTCTGGTCAGACGGGAGTAAAGGTCCTTGGTGATCCAGTATCTGTCGAACTTCCAGACCCCATCCCATGTTTGGTCCTGTTCGATGTAGTCACGACATCATTGTAGGCAACCACTTCTTCGTACTCGTCGTTGACGACACTTGATTCGTATCATGTCCGGGTGTTGTTGGACTGTTCTTTGGTTGGTTGACTCGCTCAATGATTTTGGCTCTGACTCGAGTGCCATCTTCTGCGGGAGGCATGAGGAAGG